TCGCAATACCACTCAAATAATACCATAATAACACGCCAATAACTCCACAAAAAACTGCAATAACACCAAATAACTTCAATAACTTTATAAAAAATCACCATAACAAATCAATAACACAAAAAAATCACAATAACAACATAATAATGTCAGTTGAGAATAACACAACAGAGCATCACAATACCACTCATATAAAACCAAAATAGCACATCAATAACACCATAATAATATCACAATAACACAACAATAACGCTAAAATAAAATCATTCAAAAATACTACCACAGTCGCCGCAATACCACTTTAAAGAGCATCACAATAAATCTAATAATACCACAATAAACCTTAATAACACCACAAAAAAAAAACTACAATGACACCAACCGACAAAAAAAACCACAAGACCACTCAAATAACACAAAAAGAACCACATTAACACCCACAATACCACTCAAATAACACCACAATAAACCTCAATAACTCCACAAAAACTACAATAACACCAGCCCACAAAAAACACAATGCCACTTAAATAACATCATAAAAAAAACCGCAATAACACCACAGCCACCACAATAACACTCAAATAACACCACAATAAGTCTCAATAACACCTCAATAACTCCACAAAAAAACCACAGTAATGCCAAATAACCGTAATAACATAAAATAACCTCAATAACTCCACCAAAAAATCGTAATAGCACCACAATCGTCGTAATACCACTCAAACAACACCACAATAAACTTAAATAATACCTCATTAATACCACAAAAAAACCACAATAACATCAGCTGCAAAAAAAAATCGCAATACCACTCAAATAACACCACAAAAAAGCTACAATAACATCGTTGCTGCTGCAATACCACTCTAATAACACCCAGGGCAGCTTGTGTTCGGCTCGTTTATATTTCGAGCTCAAAAAGTGTGTTCGTGTTTGGCTCGTTTATATTTCGAGCCGAACACGAGTTGTTCACGAACAAAGAGTCCTTTTAACAACCCTAATGATGTAGACATAAGACAATAAGAGTTTGAACAAGATTTAAAAATTATTATTTATATTACAACATCATTTGAATCTAATTTAATAATTTTTATTCTATTTTCTTAATCAATATTTAAATTGATAATAAATTTTTGTAGCCTTGTAGTCAATTAGATTTTTTTTTGATACTACTTAATATATATATATATATATACTTGATAAGTAGTATTTCGAGCCAAAACGAGCCAAACACGAACGAACACATCTTAGTTCGTGTTCGGCTCGTTAACTTATCGAACGAAATTAACGAGCCAAACACGAGCTTCTTAACGAGCCGAACACGAGCTGTTCGCGAACAACGAGCGTTTTGACAGCCCTAAATAACACCATAATAAACCTCAATAACTCCACAAAAAAATCACAATAGAAATTTGAAACAATGAGCTTGTTCGGGCCGAGTCACGCATTAAAATTAAGCGCATTTTCGTTTTTTATTCAGTGGGACTACGACTTAGACATTTAGCTATGTCAAAACGACTTGTTGTTTGCAAACAACTCGTGTTCAGGACGTTAAGAAGCTTGTGTTCGGCTCGTTAGCTAAGTTAACGAGCCGAACACGAACAAAAATTTGTTTGTTCGTAGCCCCAGGAGATGGTACGCGGACAGCCTTCATAACTCTTTATTTGGTTCGTCGGCACCCAATTTCACCTTTGAGTGCCAGAGTTCTCAATTTTTTCTTAGGAAGTAGTGTTGGGTTCCAGTAGGCGGCGATTTGGTGCCACAGGAAGTGGCACAACAATTTTGTAGGGGGCACCTCGGTGTCACATATCTGGCGCCAAGGCATTAGACAATTGGTTTGCCCGGGTGCATAGATGGTGCCTAAGTGCCCATAAGGTGGCACCAAGGTGTGCAGAAGAAGGTTCCTTGGCACCACTCAAGGCAAAATGGACTTTGCGACTTGATGGCTCCATTAGACTTGTGTCTAAAGTAGATTTCTTCTATCTCGCTTCAATATCCACTAATGCATCATTAAGCTCTCATAAGTATCTATATCGTGCAATTTGTACAAAAAAAAAACCTAAGAAATATTAGAAACAAATAATAGATAAAATTGTCAGAAAATTTAGATAGATTATCACGTATTTTTCGCAAATTAGCCCAAGCTCTCTTCTTCAATACAAGCAAATCCCTCTACACGTTTCCCTTTTCCTCTATTTTGTGAACCCAAAACAGGAATAAATCCCTGTTCAATCTAGCCCTAATTTAGGCCACACTTACCCGAACCCAACCAACTCACGTATTTCATATTTTGTATTGTATATTGTTGAACAGTAAAAAAAAATCGTATCACTTTTGTTTTGTATCATCATGGATCGTTGACTTCTTCATTTTGTTGTTGCTAACTCATGCTCGCCAAGGTAAACAAATGGGGCAACTGGGTAATTTTCAAAATATCCATGTGAGGAAACTCAAGTATATGTATAGGAAAATTGAGTATCTTTCAGGGAAATTGTGGACTCGTCCAAAAAAATCTTTTTAAAAAAAACAAAAGTTTTAAGTACCCATCCTATAAAACACGAGTACACTTTCAGGGAATTAAGTACCATCAGAAAAAGTAAAGTACATATTCAGGAAAATTTTTGCTTGTGATTTGACCTTTTATTGATACATTGAAGGCCCATAGTGACTTATAGATTGTAGGTTAAATATTTTGTTTTACTCCCAGGTCGCAATGACTTACAACACTAACTAGTAACTAGCGCATATTATAGACAACTGGGCAAGTTGGCATTCTCCCGATGTCCCCTAACAATATGTCGAGAGTTCGTCATAATTTCAGATGATCTGGACATGTAACTAACTTAAAATCATGGAATGTTGTTGAACTTATAAAAGAATATAAAATGTGAATCATCTCAATTTTTAAAATTTTAGCTTTAAAATTCAGGCTTTTAGGATCTTAAAAAAAATTTGAAATTTTGGGCTTCCAAATTTAAGGTCATGAGGTTTAAAAATTATTTAAAATTTTGGGCTTTTGAAAGTTAGGCTTTTTAAGCTTAATATTTAAAGTATTGAGCTTTAAATTTTAGGCTCCTAGAGTCCTAAAAATCTTTGAAATTTCGGGCTTCCAAGTTTAGGCTCCTAATCAAAGATAATTCAAAGTTGTGGATTTCAAAATCTAAAGCTCACGCCACCAAATTCGCAACAAATCTGCAAGCGAAAAGGTTGATTTTTTTAAAGATCAAAATGAAACCTTGTATGCATTCTAAAGTTCTTGTGTCAACTTAAGCTTTTAAAAGTTTTGAATGTAATTCATAAACTTTAAGTTAATGTCTAATTTCGATTTAATGCTCTGGAATTCGAGCAGGTGCATGAAAATCTTCTCATATAATTGTGAGAATGCTTCAAGTTATATAAGTGCATTAAAAAGCATGCAAGTTTATTATGTGAATGTTTTGGAAAAATACGTCAAGTCATTTTTATGATTCAAAGTAAATGAAATTGAATACCCACATGAGCTCCAACTAAATATCTACATGCTTTAACGAATAATTTAGGAGTGCTACATTTGTTAAAGGCAAAACTTGTGATCAATTAGTTTATATTTTGAAAAGCAATCAATCGGGCAACCATGTCTATAAGATCGGACTGTAAATCTCACCCAACTAGTTTGATATTTCTCCTCTTAAGAACTGAAGTTAACAAGTCTAATAAGTGCCAACAATGTCCAAATCACAAACATAAAAATTTGCAAGTCCAAATTACCTAATCCGATCCTCCTCTTTATAATGACAAAAATCAACGGGACTAACATTCAAATGGTATCAAAACGAATAAATTTCAAATGAATTTTTCAAATACAAATGTTTTCAAATGTTCAAATCATATGATGACTGTGTTGACTGAAAGTCTCAACCACATGAGTTAATTTCAAACTAACATTCAAACTAAATTTTCAAATCAAACACTCAATTAAAATTAATGACTTTATTACTTACAACAAATTCACTAAGTCATTCTTAACAGTTTGTCGAGGGTGATAACTTTTTTATTGATATCAGCACACAAAATTATTAATGTTACATCGAGTGTACTATTATATTCACACTCAAAGTAATTTCACACCAGTAAGGACATGACTCAAGTCCTTTTTTTACATGGTTTGACCCAACTAGAGCCCTCTAACCGGATGATTGTCGTCAAATGACACCATTATACTATGACCACGGTCACAGCTCATATGTTCCCTAATTGTTTTATGTCTTTTGAGTTGTGAACTATAAGAGTACAATTTATTGAAATAAAACATTTTGTCAGTTAGGGTCAACTTAAATTTATCCCCTTACACAAACATTCACCCAAGATCTATAAATGTCTCTTGGACGATGCAACTCATGGCTGCTAACAAGAATCTTTCACTACCTCCTCTGACTAAGTAGATCAAAGACCACGACGACCTGGGATAATGAAACCATGGGATCTTGATCAGATTCATCATCATTTGTCTCGTCATCCACTTCAAGATCCTAGTGATACATTTTACAACTTAAACTGTATATTTGCTGCTATTATATGTTAAATATTTAGTGTTTAATGACTAGCCTAAATCAAAAGTGCTCTCCAGTTATCAGGAGGGTGGTTAATTAACCATAGAGACTTGCACCTATGGGAAATCTCGAACCTAAATCAAAAAGTCCTCACAAAATGAGACCAAATCTCTGGGTAGTATATTATCTACTATCTCATTAGTCTTTTGAAAATTTTGACCTTCAAAGCTGTCTCAACTCACAGCAAAAACAAATAGTCAGAGGGCGGCGTCAAAATTTTCAAACCCCAATTATCTTTCTGAATTATAAGAGAATAACCATTTTTTGTAATAGCTCAGTAAAGCACCAAAAACATCAATGAGATCTCTTAATTAGCTGCTCAAAAGCTTCATGTTCAAAAGAAAATTTATCAATGAATAGAAGCCAAAATATCGTAACACCATTACATAAATATTATCCCAGGGGGGGGCAGATTTCGTACGATATACAGTATTTCAGAAGGGAGAACTTAAAACAAATTTCCTCAACCTTGGTGATTCACAAATTTAAACTTGATTAGTATTTCTGACCACAAAAAACTAAACCAGTAGTAGTGCGCCCCTACGAAAATGAGAATCAAAATCAATGATATGTTCATGTAGCAGAAAAATATACAGGTTTTTGCGACGTTCCATGCCTCAGAAAATCCTAATAATTCATAATTTGCGATTATTGCATACATATAACCTTTATCATATCATCTAAACAAGCAATAAAACCATCACTAAAACACAACCTGCTCAAAAGTTGCTAAAAGCTACAACAAAGTATTTAGGGGGATTTAAACACATAGCACACAATTCTTATGTATTTACATCTGTCACTCATCACTCCTAAACTTCCATATTTACACATATGACACTCAAAACTTTAATATCACATAAAAAATAAAACTATCATTTTCTTTTTTAAGTGAAATACAACTTTTCATGCATAAGTTTAACGAAGTAAAGTGCTATGTCTGTAAATATGAAAGTTTAGGTGCGAGATAGTTAAATACAAAAGAATTGTATAATAAATATGTAAATTTCCCAAAAATTTTTTGATGTGTTGAAGGAACCCAAAATAAACATTTTGGCATCTCTGAAGGTTTAAAATAAACATGATAAAAATAATAGAGAAGCCTTCTAACAATCATGTACATTTGTTAAATTATACCTCAAAAGCATTAGAAATCTGTGTCTGCTAGGAGTTTATAGCTTTCGAAACTGCATAGATGAAGTCCAAGACACCTGTACCCTTGAGAAGGCCTTTACCAGTTAAAAGCTCAAAATCAATCAAAAAGAGGAAGCCTATTATTGCAGCCTTTCCATTTATTAATTCATTCTTTGATGTGAAACCAAAAGCTTCAAAATTTTCATCAACCACCATTCTCACCTGAAATCCGAAAAAAAGAAAAGGGAATGAGAACAAACCAAGCAAGTATTGTCCTCTTAAATCAAACATTCAGGTTACCAAATCAGAGACATAACTTGGTAAGGAGCTGTTTGGGATCACTTTTGATTTTTTTTTTAAATTTATATTTTTACTTAAAATAAAACATGTTTGATATGTTATGACATATTTAGTTGTTTTTGAAATCACTCAAAATAAGTTTTAGTTGTTTAAAGTATTTTAAAAAAACAAACTAAGTAAATTTTAGATCAAAGGAAAAAATACAAAAATGCACTAAACAAACATATTTTTAAAATAAAAACAAAATACAAAAAAACAAAAATACAAAAATAAAAACTATAAGTAATCCCAAAGAAGCCCTAAGGTAGTTGCAGTTGTTTGAAGAAACAGTTGTGAAGATACTGCAGAAGTAGTTGTTCAAACAATTGTGGTGGTTATGAAAAAAATTATTTTTAAAGAAAAGTCAGATCGCAGCTTTCTAGCAGTCACCACACTTAGCCAAATTTGGTGGCAAAATACAGCTTTTTGAAAAAATAGGCAAAACGTAATTTTGCCAAACAAAAAAAAAAATTGTTGTGCGAACCGCACGGTCGCCCCAAACACACCCTAAATCTTCAAAATCGACTCAATTCATAAACAGGGCTAGCATGAGAAGTCAAACAGGCATAGAAGTATAAACTTGTAAATAAACAAGTAGAAAAATGCATAACGATTTACTTCTAAAGCATAATTTGTTAATGTTGTGTTGCCCGTGTTGTGCTATTTGGGAATCAATGTTATTGCACTCACAGAATCAGACAAGCTACCCTGGAAGTGTTTTGTTCACCATAGTAAAGCTAATAAGAAGAGATATTTCTTACAAAATTAAATTGTAATATGTTATTTTTTTAGACAACAGCTCAAAAGAATTATCAAGCAAGGAGGTTAAAATATCAAAATGCTTGAAATACACAAAACAAATTGTTCCAAAGATCATTGAGAACGTTTCCAAAGAACAATTTAAAAGAGAAGTTCCACTTTCTAACCATGTATAATCTATAAAATTGAAGTCAAACAATATAAAGGGTGAAGGCAAAAAAAGACTCCTGTGCTAATCTATTTGTCAAGAAAAAGTGAATGCCTCCTACATAGCAGCCAAAAAAATAACATTTTAAACATTATTTTCAGAAAGAATAACAATTGTATCGGAATTTCTGCAAGAAAAACTACATATATATGTATATATATATACATCTGTCACTATATATATCGGAATGTCTATAAGAAAAACGTACAGTCATACTTGAGTTGAAATCAATAACTTCAGAACATAATGACTGCGTTTTTATTTTATTTATATATTTTTTTCCATGCCAAAATAGAAGAAAAAATCCTTGAAATGTTCGTATGGCAGCATTAGCACTTTTGAGGTTTATCCATTGCGCAGTGCATAATGAAGTATATAGGTTGAGTTGGGTTAAAATAATAAATAGAGTATATATAGTACATACTTGCATGGTTAAGCAAAGATGCTATCAGCATTTGCCAACACGATAAATTTTGTCGGCTAGAAGTTTTATTCTTTAAGTAAATTTATTTTATTTTATTTTTGGGGCATTTACATACATAGCACACAATTCTTATGTATTTACAAATCTCAGGCCTAAACTTTCATATTTACACACATAGCAGTCAAATCTTTAATATCGCATAATAAATAATACTATTATCACTTTCTTAAAAAGTGAAATGCACCTTTTAATGCATAGTTTAAAGCACCAAAGTGTTATGTATGTAAATATAGAAGTTCAGGTGAGAGATTTGTAAATACATAAGAATTGTGTGCTACGTATGTATATTTCCCTTTATTTTTTAGATGCATGTTTTATAGTTCTATGAATTGCACGATAATATGAAATAATCCTTTTGTTTCAACAAGTTCAAACATATTCTATGATCTCAAACATGTATTTAAATACTGTACTCTTATTGTGTCCTTTCAATTATCATGTATGGAATAATAAAAGAAAGGGAGAATGACCTCTTCAACATTGACATCCGATGCAGTAATCCCTGGCTGTGCTTTACCACTGAAAACAATCTCTGATGATCCAACAGATTTTGCATTTCCCTCCATGCTGATATAGATATTTTCATTGTCAGTTTTTACAGGATAAACAAGGAGCTTTCTCAAAGCTGGCGTTAGCACCCTCAGCACGGGGTTTTTTGGGTACCAGTCTTTAATGTCCCCAGTTTGAAGATCAAATGTGCTGTCTGTTGTAGGACAAATAATGCAACCATCCTGGAAATAATGGAAAAAAAAAATCAACCTCCAAGATATTAACTTGATGTTTTTATATAAAATGATAATAACCTTATATAAAGCTAGTTAGTGCCTTCAAAATAAAAAGTGTTATTTCCACAGGAGAAGGATACCAAAAAGATTCAGGATAAGGAATGGAAAACTTCAAGGAATTTTTGCACGAGTCCCAGCACTTCTGGCTATTTGTACAGAAGGACAACATTTTTTAACTTCCATCAATATAGCTTTAAGAGTTTATGTTTAAGTTTAAAAAAAAGGCAGTTAAAGATCTAAAACAACTGAAGATTTATCAGAGTTCTGTTGAACCCTAATAATTTTACTAAGGTTGAGTTATACCCCATAAAATTTATTGAATTTGAAGAATATTAAAATTGTAGCAAATTCTAGTAACTTAATTGGGATTGTAACGAATTGTTATAATAATATCAAAATGTTGCTGTTTTTCCAAGTTTTCAATACACTTTGGAAAGAAAGCAAACAATGTTCAATCCAATGAGAACCTTTCTATGCACTAAGGACCAACAATCTTCTTGATCACACGTAGAAAAAAAGTGAGGGTCGAACAACCCACAAAAATTCTGATGAATATTTGGAAAGAAAGTGAATCTCATTCAGTCAAAATAAAAACCTTCTCGCAACTAAGGACCAACAACCATGTCTGTCATACTTCGAAGAAAATATGGCTTCTACTCTGATATCACATTGGAGGGCCCCCCTATCAATGCTCATGAATATTTGTAAAAAAAAAGAAAATCTCATTCGGTCAAAATTAGAAACTTTCTGCAACAAAAGTTTATAATCATGCTTATTAAACTTTGCAAAAATAGCAAGGGTCCTAGTCTGACAGGCACTGAGGAGCTTAAAGACTGAGGAAAAAAGGTTAAAAAGTGAAAAAAATTGTAACCATTAAATAGAGCCAAGTATTCTTATTTAATAAAAAATAAAAGAGAATTGTACATATATAGCACACAAGTCTTATGTATTTACATATCTCATACCCAAACTTTCATATTTACATACATAGGACTTTGGTGCTTTAAACCTATGAATGAAAAGGTGTATTTGATTTTTAAAAATTGGAATAGTGCTAGATTTTTTGTGATATTAAAAATTGGAGTGCTATGTGTGTAAATATGAAAGTTTAGGTGTGAGATACGTAAATACATAAGAATTGTGTGCTATGTATATAAATGTCTTAAAATAAAAACAATAAGATTTGACTTATGTTAAGAAATGCAGAGGTAGACCTAGGATGACTTGGGCATATTGTATAAAAAATGATCTTAATTTACTATAATTAAATGATAATATGACACTAAATAAGACACAATGGAGATAAATGATTCATGTAGCCAACCCCACATAGTGGGATAAAGGTTTTGTTGTTGTTGTTGTTGTAATGTTGCATTAAAAAAAATTCATAAAATTTCATGCAGTCATACTACTAAAGCAAGTATCAAAAATGAACTTGGGCATTCCTTTCATTACAGGCCTTAGCAAAATAAAATTCATCTAGCACATGATATATGTACCCAATTCCCTTAAGTTTTAGTGGAACTAACTAGGATTTTATTTGGGTTCTTTGCATCATAAAAGTCTCTCAGTTTTGAAGAAATCCCCTACTTATCCATCATAGATGCATACATGGCTTTCTTTTCTTCCAGGAATAGCTATTCCTTCTCTTTGTTTAAGAAGGAAATCCTGGAAACAAGAGTGAACACTAGTTTGGGAAATTTATCTATATACCACCCAATTCCTATGTATCTACATATCTAAGAGCTAAGCTTCACTGTTTACACACATTAAAAATGCCAACATTTTAACTTTTCAAGCATATGTAAGTTGGCATGCATGTAAAAATTGAAGTTGAGTTAGAAATGTAAATACATAGGAATTGAGTGGTATGTATGTGCATCTTCCTACTAGTTTGAATCTTCTGTTAGATGATAAAATCTATGAAATCATTATTAATGGTGAGGGTATTAGAATATTAGAATATTAGTATGCAGAATTTTGTATCAATTGCTCTGATTTGCTTTTATTTTCTTTCCTTTTTACCTTTTATTTTGTTTTTATTTGTTGTCATACCAGTAAATCCTGTAATGGGTATTTATTCTCCTTTTTGCATCAATAAGATTATCTTGGGTCCAATTCTAACATGGTATCAAAGTCATGCCCTAATCTAATTGTCGAGCTCCCTGCAGCCGGTTAGATCTGCATCCAGGTTCCTGCAGCCAGCTAGGTCTGAATCCCCGAGGATCCTGTCTCAACGATCACATCTCCAGGCACCAGTCATCCGCCTCCAAAGCTGGACCACATCTTCAGCTTCTGCCAAAGTCCAAGAATTTCAGCCACCAAAGCTGGTTCCCGTCTCCAGCAGTCAGTGCCAAATTCCCAGAATTCTGCCTCTGTATTAATACAGAATTCTGCCCTGTATTAATACAGAATTCTGCCAAATTTCCAAGCTATATTAATACAGAAGTCTACCAGATTCCAACTTCATATTTCTTCCATCATATTGCCGGAAACTTTGTCCAGCCAGGCTAGAAGAGCATATCCTGCAGGAACCCCTTCCTGAGGCCATATATCTTCCGTCTAACAATTAGAACCTTACGATGTCTCAACAACCTAACATCTCGTTTGGCTAAATTAAAACCACGGCGGACTCTTCCAGCACTGAGTCATCATCAAAAGGTGTTCTTGATTCCACCGGAGGTCAATTCCAACCTCGATTTCCCTACATACTGGTTGATAAGAAAACAATATGAACATCCTGATAACTCATAAACTAAACGGCAACTACTTTCTACAATGACCCTAATCTGTATCTTTCTTTATCAAAGTGTGTGGAAAATTCGATCATTTCACTGGTATGATTCTTGAACCTCCAAATATGAACTTAGGGTATGAAGCTTGGGAAGTGGAGAATTTCATGGTCATGTCGTCGCTGATCAACTGACCTGTCTCTTTTTTAGAAATTATAGAAAAGAACAACATGTTCCAGTTTCTGGCAGGCTTTAATAAAGAGCTTAACGAAGTCTAAGGTCGTATCCTTGGTCGGGATCCTCTTCCTTCTACTCGTGTTGCTTTCATCGAGATTCATTGTGAAGTGCTCTATACTTCCATTCTATCTGTCGAAGCATCCGCCTTGGTCTCTAATAGTGCTCAACCCCAGGACCCTACTTGTGAATTCTGCCACAAACCCAACCACACTCATGATAAGTGTTGGAAACTCCACGGAAAACCTGCAACCAAACCTTCGACCAAATTTTCGTTGCCAAGAGTCTCGCTACGGCACCTGAATCCAACATAGTACAGTCGACCTCTATCCAGAACAATCTAGAATCCTCCAATTCTATTAAAAGTTAAATTGAGCAATTAATCAAGTTGCTTGGATCAAGTCATCTCTCTTTCGTCAAGGTATCAATCTTATAACACTCACTTCTTTTACACCTTATAGTTCATGGATCATTGATTCAGGTGTCACGGACCACATGACTGAAAGCTCTCAAGCCTTTTCGACATACTATCATTTGCTCAGGGAAAGATACTATTAAAATTGCTGATGTCTCCCAAAGTTTTATTGTTGGTAAAGGGTCTCTTGTTTTAACAGTAGGTCTAACTCTGAAATCTGTGATACATATACCTCTGTTTAAATGTGATCTTTTATCTATCAGTAAACTGACATATGACATTAATTGTGTTGCTCAATTTTTCTCTGATGTCTGTATCTTTCAGAATCATTGTTTGGAGAGGATGATTGGAATTGCTAAACGGGTTTGCGGACTTTACTTCTTCCAAGAGAAAAACACGAAGAATGAGAACACTACACCTAGTAATTGCAGTTTGTCTCAGTCCACTGAATGTCATATTATGTTGTTACATTATCGTTTGAGTCATTCTAGTTTCCAGTACCTAAAACAATTACATTCATTGATGTTTACTAATAAATTTTTTTCTAATTTCAAATGTGAAACATGTTAGTTAGCTAAACATCATCGTGTTCCTTATCCACCCAATAATTATACTTTTCGCTCATTTTTCTCTTATTCACAGTGACTTATGGGGACCCTCTCGCACTCCTAGTTACACTAATAAATGATGGTTCCTTACTTTGATTGATGATCACATTCGGATGACATAGGTCTATATTTTAAAAGATAAATCTGAAACTGTTATACTTTCAAAAAATTTCACACCTTCATTTTAACCCAATTCAAAACTCATATTCAAGTCCTTCGGACTGGAGGGGGAGTATTATAATATTAATAAGTAGAATTTTGTATTAATTGTTTTAATTTGCTTTTATTTACTTTCCTTTTCCTTTTTATTATGTTTTTATTTGTTGTCTTACTAGTAAATCATATAGTGGGTAATTATACCCCTCTTTGCCTCAATAAGATTATCTTGTGTTCTATTTTAACAGAGGATTTAGTCACTTCCATCTACTTTATCCTCTAAGGAAACTTTATGATTTTACCTTATAAAGTTTATCCTTTGCAAACTAATGGTGTTTTCTCTCTTGCTAAAGCTATAATAAACCATTTTTTCTACTTCTTTTAAACTTAGCTGGACTAAAGATTTTTTGGCACAATGGAATATCCCTCAAATATTTCATCGACATATGAATGACTGCTTAAATCGTTTGACATAATAAATATCATGAACACTTCAAGAAATATTTTATGTCATGAGCATGCCTCCGACATGCCTTGAGTCTAGCATGCTACTATTATTTTAATTAGGGAAATTTACATACCAAGCACAATTCTTTCGTATTTACCTTCAATCTAACACGTAAAATTTCATATTCACATACATAGCACTTTGGTGCTTTAAACATATGCATGAAATGGTGTATTTCACTTTTAAAAAGTGATAATAGTGTTATTTTTTATGTAATATTAAAGATTTGAGTGCTATGTGTGAAAATATGAAAGTTTAAGCGCAAGATATGTAAATACATTAAAATTGTTTGCAATGTATTTGAAAGTCACTTTTAATTAAAGGTGGACACTGTCATTACACAATCTGACATGTAATGAACATGCAATGGTGGCAAAGTCTATTTATGAGCAAGATTCAAAAATCATTTTTTTTATCGATGATGATGAAAGCTTTGTGGCAGAGGACATTGATGTTAATTGTGATAACAATTGAAATGTTGAATGTGTTCGGACCAGTAGTGGTAAATAATACTTTCTTAAGATATTTCGAAGATTATATACTTGTTTTATTTTGGCATTTTGATAGAGCAATATGATGTTGATTTAAGAAAATCACATCTAATGATTAGTGTTAATGTCGATGTGTTGTTGACAATAAAGTACACATGATAAAAATATATTAAATTTGAAAAAATAATAAAACAGTTATAATTGAACCTTTTTTTTTTGTCCTAGAGCTTTATATGTGATACACATGATATAATATTTAATATTTTCATTCTTTTTATGGATATATTGTGTTCTTGTATATATCCTTCTCCACTAGGGCTGTCAAAATGGCTCTTTGTTCGCGAGCAGCTCGTGTTCGGCTCGTTTTGGCTCGAAATACTACTCATCAAGTTTATATAT